CTCTCATCACTGATGTTTCTCTCCCTCTTCATTTCTCTTTGAAATCAATTAAAAAAAAAAACGAACACAAAAGAAAACCTCTTATGCCTTTCCAGGTGACAAAACAACATATAAAGTGAAGCAGAGTGATGAATGCCTAGAAAAATATGGATGACTAATTAAAAGACCATATAAGCCTGACTTGCTTCTCCATTCCCATTCTTCAAAATTTTAGTCAGAGAGCTTCAGCATAAAGTATCCACACCCCTGAGGTACAATTATTTAACTTCATGATTTTCTGCCCTGAACAAAATCCTTATCATACCATAATTAAAAACACCAGAATAGTGGCAAGCCAGTTCTTAAAGATTATTGGTAATATCAATTGTATAGACACAACTGAAGAATTGATAATTTACAATATATATTTAATTAATTTTAAAGCGCCAGTTATCAAAAAAGCACCAAATTAACATTTTCATACTTTCCAGCTAATAAAGGATAACATTTTAAGTCTCTTATCCAATGCAAGAAAGCTAATAGGAAACAAACAAGTATAATAAATCACAGCATACTAAATTATTGCATATACTATGAATACCTGCTTAAAATCTGTGTAAAAATGGATATTTTAAGAGAAAAGGTAGCATTTCCAAATTTAAAGATATTCACATCCACTTTGCACCTGACATTTTAGAAATCTATTGGCTAAATCAATAACCTGTGCAAAACTCACATTGTTTGGGCAGAGCTTCAGCCAGTCTCCTTAAACTAGTCAGACTGTCTGCACCAAGCTGGTTTAAGATGCTGGGTAGCATTTCTGTCAGCTGCTTTGTCTCAGCATGGCCTGTAATGGTGAAAGTGTTCGCTGCCAGAGATGCCTGAACTTTAGGGTTGTTAAAGTGGATCACTGTTCCTTGGTTTGTAAACATATTTACCTATAAAGGGAAAAAAAATACTTTTAATTAGCAGTGCCCACCAAATGTATGAACATTAAAAGCTTTTTTCAGACAAATCTTGTTTTTCTAAAGAAATAAAACTTGACGCTTACCTCTTCAATACCAGAGATATTGTTTACCCCTAACTTCTTTAAGGAGAACTGAAGTTTTTTATCATCTGCTGTAGCTGTTCTGTGAACCACCTTCTTCTTTCTACGAGCAGTTCCCTAAAGTGGAGAGAAAGGAAAGAACACAGCACACATTTATACTGTAACAGACATTTTCAAATGGAAAGGTTCAAATTCCTTTCTGATCTTTGGATATGTATAAGAAAACTATCATAACCACAAACTTTTATGCAGTGAGTAGGCAGGTGAAAGCAATGAGGGAAGTCAAAAGAGGGAAAGGACTTGCTACAAATCCTTAATAATTTCTAAAATTCTAGTCTTGTCAGATATAAATGATCTTTTCCAAGTTTTACTTTTTACATTGACGGCTCTAAAGTGATCAGAGACGTGGCATGTGTCAACCTAAATTACTAACCTTTTGTTTTTACACTAATTAAAGAAAAATTAACATCTATTAATATTCATAGGCAAGACAGTGTATGACACAAAGGTCTGTACAGACTTCCATTGTACGCAAGAGTAAAACCTGAAATTCTTAACTTAACCTTGATCTGTCCTGCCCCTACTATGCCATTCTTGACCACACACATCTCCTATCACACACACCAATTCATCTTCAGCCAAATAACCCTCCTCATTGTTACTAAAATAGGCCAAACAGGAGTTTTTGGACACACTGTTCTTCTTCCCTGGCATCTGCATGGCTCCCTTCCTCACTCAAGATCCTTGCTCTTATGTCACCATATTCAGAGTGGCCTTTCCCAACGACCCACACTCACCATTTCCCATCTATCCAGGTTTATTTCTCTTTATAACACTTATTACTAATAACGATAAGTATATTCTATTGCCTGTCTCCCCTTACTAGAATATAAACTCCTCGAAGGCTTCTATTCTATTTACTGCTATAAAACTCAGTATCTATAACAGGACCTGGCTCACTGAAGGTAGTCAATAACTTGATGAGTGAATGAATATAGGCTTCAGGAAAACTTGTGGTCTCTTGAACATGCCAAGTCTACAATCTCCCCTTTCTCTAAAATATCCTATAAACTTCTCAAACCAGGCACATGTGACCATCCATATTCTGCTTTCAAATTCTTTAGTAACACTCATAGACTCCCATATAGGCTAAGACACTTACATTGTACACAAGGCTCTTCATGGAAGGACCACCACCACCCACCTACCTCACTGTCCCCAGCCTCCATACCAATTCTGATCCTTTAAAATCCTGCATAAGCCAGTATCTCTTCTGTGTTTTCCCGAAACTCTACAATTAATATCCTTACCCAGACAAACCACTCTCATCTCTGTATCTTGAAAATGCTTCCCTTGCACCATATATGTGAAAAAAAATCTTAAAAAAATGTCCATCTCCCCTACTAGCCTTAAAGCCCCCTAGATACTTTACCTAAATTTTGTATTCTCAGGATCCAGCATAGCAAAGGCTTAAATAAATCATAGTGTAACTGAAGAAAATATCAATAATTACATAGAATACTGGTGACCAACCCCCTCAAAAAACCTTTAAAATAACTATTACCTTGAAGTGGTCATGTAGAAACCTGGTTTCCAGAGAACACTCTCTAAAAGACATTCTGAGAAACTACTATAAGATTCTAAAAACAAAATCAGCACACCTTCTATAGTTTTCATACACTTTACATAAATAGGGTTTACTTTTCACTGAAATAATTAAGTTATTATCAATGTTCTGATCAGATACTGAAATAAAGAGCTCTTGTAACACTTACCTAGAAGTATCTAACACTTGCAATGTTCTCTAAGGCAAAACTCACTCACCTGATTTCACATCCCATAATAAGCAGGTTTCTTAAAAGGTGAAGAAAATGTTTCTGTATTACAATGACAGAAATACTTCCTCTATTAACTAGTTAACAAGTAAAGTTTAATCCTACATCAGCCTTAAGAATCCTAGATAACCCTGACTTCCCTTTACCTAGAATGGTTTCTCTCACAAGTTGAAGGGCCTAATGATCAAAGTAACCAAAAAAGAAAAAAGGCACATTAACTAAGGTTAAAAACACCGTAAGAGCATCCAAACACTGACCCACAAAGATTATAAGGAGTTTTTCCACCACACCTAGCTTACAACGATTGCTAAAAAGAACAAGAAATACCTACTGTTGTTAACAGGTAGGCGTGGGATCTTGAATACTACTAGCTTGGGGGGTGGGGGTGGATGAAGATACACTGCTGGCAAAGTCCAGTAACTAACAATGTACATCTTACTATTTAAGTCTAAGTGCAAATATGGCTATTTCACAGTAGACTCTACTTGAAGGTAAATGGGCAACGTTGGAAAAAAAAAACAAAACCAAAATACTAATAGATAATAAATCTGTAGTATAGACGTTTTAACCATACAAGTGAATACAAGTTTTACCAAGTGAAGACATGCCCTGTTCCAACAGGCTATACCACACCTTGTTAAATACTAGGAATGTGCTAACAATGCAAAATACAACCAGGTAGACCTCGGTCTAGCGTGGGCTTCTGCTTTATGTAAATTACTTAGAGAACCACCTAAAGTCTAAACACTTAGAGAGTTCAAAAAGGAATCCCCTCCGACTCAGCATCCACCAGGGAAAACCAATGTACCCAAAACGGATCATTAAAAAACCCACCAAACACTCCCCTTTCCTGAGTTTTAGCGAAATCGCAAAGTGAAAATACAAAGACATCCACTTTACAATATTTTCGAATCCATAGTCCACTGCTCTTAAACTCCAACATGCAGTTACAAGACAGATCTTCAAACGCCCTAGAAATAGACAACTCCTGCCGCCCCGGAGTGCCTGAGCCAAGGAAGCGTTACAGAAAAGGCCTTAATCTACCAAAAAAACCAACTCGCCAGTAAGTCTACATGCAACCGAAGCCAAAGCAAGTCGGAGGAAGGGCGGCCACAGCGATACGCACCTGAAACGACATAGTTCCTTACCCAGCACGTTAGGAAACCCTTTTCACCTCACTTAAAACACTAACACTGGAGAGTATGTTTACATACAAACAATGTTTGCAGCCAAAGCAGCTTTTCATCTCGACTCACTCGCTTTTTTCCCCTCCGGTTTCCGGAGACATTACATTGTACATCGCCTTTAACCCGCCGCTCCATCCCCCAGTTTGCTAGTTCCGTGAAATGCCCGCTGTAGGCAAAGCCACACGCCATCGACATTAGAAATGCAAAAGAAAAAAACCCTAAACCCTACACACACACACACACTATTAAGACTTACTTTCCCACCAATGCGCACTTGAGCCTGCAGTTTGGCGAGTTTCTCTTGGTTCATGATAGTCTCTTTCATCTAGAAAAACAGGAAACCCTCAGCGAGGAAAGGTGTAGTTGGCCCTGGCATTCCACGCTCGTTACTTCCCGACCCCCGCTCCTGCCCCCACCCCCCGCCCGGCAGAACAAATGTCCCACACGGGCCGAGGCCTGGGTCCCAAATCCGCCCCGCAGGCTCCCAATTTCCTCGCGGTACCTGAGGCTCCTGTCCTCTGGTTCCGCCGCGAGGTGGAGGAAGAGACGGCGTCGCCTCGCCCCCAGGGCAGCCGCCCCTGGCTCGACCTCGACCCCGAGAGTCAGCCTGAGTGGGTGCGCCTGTCCGTCGCATCGCCTTCCTCTCAGCCCTGTCCCTCCCTGTCTCGCTCCTTCCGGGCACTGCCCGCCCCCGATCCCGTCCTCCTCCCACGCCGGCGTCCACAGCCTTTTTGTACCTTGTTGGAGAGGAAACGGGGCCGCGCGGGGGACTAGGGCTGACGCTCAGGGGGTCTAGGGCAGACCAGCTGAGAATAAGCGCACACACGCGGGGACGCAAGATGGCAGCTAGAGGGAGGCCGGAAGTGACGCAAGGCCACTTCCTTGAGAAGTCAGGAAACGGACTTGGCCCGAGCTCTGGGCTGTGCTGCGCACGCGCGGCTCCGGGACGCGGGGTGTGTGACCGACGCGCTTGGACGTTCTTTCCTTCGCGTCCGGCGCCGGCCGGGCGGCTACCACGCCGAAGGCTGGGCTGCAGGCAGCGCGAGGAGGCCTGGGGGACGCCATCCAGGGGGTCAGAGAAAACAGTTTCTTGTTCAGTGGGAGCTGAGTAAGTCGGCCCTGTCTCCCTGGAGTCCTGAGCTCAGGTTTGCGGAAACGCCTGGGACGCCCAGCGTGTGCCCACCTCTTTAGCCGCGCTCGGCTCGCTGGGTGACCCCGGAAGTTTTAGAAATTACCCGTCGGCCCGAATGAGGCTTCACCAAAACGTGTTGTCAAAAACAATGAAGCTGACTTTGCTTCCTGAGGCCAGGTGGTTTGGTCTGCTGCAGGACCAGGGCTCGAAAAATCTGAGGAGCGTGTTCCGGAAGTCATTGGGTCGGGCTGGGCTGGGACCGGGGAATGCGCGCGCCCGCCCCAGAGCAGGCGGCTCGTCGCCTGGGACCGGGTGCGTGAGGGGTTCCCTTCTCTCCAACAGACGGAAAGTTTACTCGGTATCTGTTGGCAGGGACTTGACAGCTAGCGAGCCCCAGTTGAACACACTTTACTTGTCTTAACTAGTACGTCAATCAAGAACTTATGCCCCGTGTGTTTGGAGAGGCTAAACTGCTGTGAGTTGAAATTTTTTAAACTCTAGGACAGGTTTTCAGACGACCTTAAAATAAAACGACCGGTATTGGAGATGGAAATTTAAGTAAACATGCTCTCTGACCAGCCTTTTTGTGG